TGTCTTTTTGATGTCCTTGACTGGCCAGCATATTCTCCAGATCTCAACCCGATGGAAAATGTTTGGGTCATTCTTGCAAGACGGGTGTATGCCAAGAATCACCAAATTCTAAATGAATGGCAAGGTTTCGAAAAGGACCTTTTATTAAATTTAGTGACTTCAATGAGGAAGAAAATTTTTGAGTTAACTAAGGCAAATAGAATCCTCACTAAATATTAATATTCGTTTTTCCATCATCCCGCAACAATTTCGGATTTGGTTTTTTTACCAAAACATGAAATTGGTCTATAATTTTGATACAGCAAATGGGTCTTTTTTCATTGTTATTAAACCGTTCATTTTAAGTGGAAAAGTTGTTTTTCATTCATAATCCAAATATTGAACTACTCCTTTTTTAAGATTTTGAGGGAATGTGTCATTTGCGAAAAATTTTTGTGGGTTATAAATATGATAGCACTGTATAAACAAGTAAGAAGGCTCCAGTCGAGACTGCTCGGCTAGGAGATACCCTGAACCCTCCAAGCTGATATTATAATCATTCTGGACTTCTTTTATGCCCACATACATACACATGCACTTATAAGCACGCGCTCTGCTAGCTGCGCAGTAAGCAGCGACAGCGCTTGGGCTGCGCTGCAGTGTGGACAATATTATGAGAATTTATTTGTTGATGGCGTGGTATCCATAATCTGTAGATTACAAAATCTTTGTATCCATTAACTTTATATACAACGCATATTTGAAGTCTCCAGGTCTAAAAGTGTTTAAATTAGGCTGAAAATACCATGTCGATTTTTGATTATTCTCGATAAAAAAAGTTATCGGATGAGCTATCGAAAAAATATGATAAACTTGAACTGCCTATGGTATACACGAGTATGTATGCCAAATTTCAGCTCTCTAGCTATTATATCTTCTGAGATCTTTTTGCTTATACGGACGGACGGACGGACGGACAGACGGACAGGGCGATATCGACTCAGCTCGTCGTCCTGATCAAGAATATATATACTTTATGGGGACTGCGATGATTCCTTCTGCCTGTTACATACTTTTCACAAAACCATTATACCCTGATTTCCCATTTTCAATGGGTTCAAGGTATAAAAATTAGAATAGGCACTCTGAGATCTTAAAATCGATAACCAAATAATTCAATAGCAGGTTACCCTCAAGACAGCTTCCCATTGAATAGCCGACTTGTCTCATGTATTTGCAGACTGCATGACGGCATCTTGGGTTAATCAATATTCAGATTAAAAAAAAAAATCACTCAAAACTGTAGGTTGGCCTCTTTAGCCGTTTATTTATAGAAACGCGAAGCTAAATTTAGAAAACAACATGGTTTTCCGATTATATTTTTAAGTAAGTAAAATATAAATTAAAAATGATCAGATATAATCAAATGACATATAAACCTCCCCTAGTTTTACTTTATAATTGACCAATATGTCCATTAAATGTCAAGAGTCAAAATATCCCCACAAAAATAATTTCGCTCAGTTTTAAGTAAACTAACTTTTTTCTCAACAAAAATTTTTATTTTTAATTTATATGATATACATATGTACAAATTAATATCCAAGTAGAACATTATCGATAAATAACAATTAATAATAATGTGTTGTTATTTCAATCTACTAATCAATACTAATTAAATATAATAGGGAGTTCACGAAACTTTATATTAAATCAGGTAACTTTAATAAAACGACATAACTAATGCTGATCGCTTAACTCGATGCAATTTAAAATTTTTAAATTTCGTTCAATGTATTTTTTAAGTGATTTGACTTATTGAGCTTATTTGCCCCATTTTTTATTTTTCCATCATGTGGCTAAACCCATATGAAAGGTCGAAAAAAAAATTCAGCGGTCACAGCATCCATCATAAAATTTTTTTTTGCTACCAATTTAATAATTTTTTGAATTATTGCTTTGCAAATGATTCAAACGAAAGTGTTTATCTGGAGAACTATATTCTACACATTTATTATCAATCTTTTTTATCAAACAATTTATTATCAATATATATCAATATATTTGTATCTCACGTTCTTGAAAATATATGTAAATAAGCATATCTATGAGATAAGATATATGTATATACATACGTATGTATATGTAACATTATTTAAATTTCGTAAATCTATAGTATTATATATATCATACCTCAGCCCACTTTTACTCATTAATTGCGTAGATATACGAGATGAGTTTTAACACTTAAATAGAAAATTTTCATATATCATGAATGAAATATGAATGCAAATCTTTATTTTATAATTTGATTCGCCTGAATAACAAAAGCAACTAATAAACAGCGCATGCGCTCTCTTGCCTCATAGTGGCGGATAATATCTGAAGCTATATTTAATATATCGATAATTGATTTTTTATACAAAATCAAAATATATCTTTTTGAAATTTGGCACTTGCTAATAGTTGGTTTTTAGTATATAGAGTAATTCTCTGTTTACCTACTATTGTAGACAGTTATTGCGAAAAATGATATTTGAGGATATATATATATATTTTTTTTTTTGAAAATGTACGCGAACGCATGGTATTACTATCGGAAATTAATTAGATGGGCTATCTTCATAAGCTTTTTAAACCGTGATAATAATGTTAAAATCATTGTATTTGCTCAAACAGAAACTTTTTGCAAATTTTAAAAGCAAAGGTATCCAAAATATAATATAAACATAGTAAGTAAATTATTTATAAACAAATAAGAAGGCTGCAATCCAGACTGCTCGACTAGGAGATACCCTGAACCCTCCAAGCTGATAATCTACTCATTCTCCACACGCACGTATAATATGAACGCTCTGTGCTGACTGCGTAGTTAGCAGCGATAGTGCTTGGGCTGCACTGCAGTGTGGAAAATATTATGAGAATTTACTAGTTGAATAATTTCTCTTGTAGTAGGACTATCTTTATGAAACATTCAGAGCGTGCTTATATGGTTAGAATGTGTGTACATTCCATAGCACAAATCTCTAGTACTTAAAAATTGGGAGCGAAGGGGGCGTGGTATCCAAAATCTGTAAATTAAAAAATCTTCGAATTCAGAAAATACACAGTAAATCTGAAGTCTCCAGGTCTAAAAGTGTTCATATTAGACCGAAGAAACAAAATCAATTTTACGATTATTGTCGATAAAAAAGTTATCGAATGAGCTATCGAAAAATATGATTAACTTTTACCACTGACCAAAGAACACATAGAATGTGCATTAGGTCACTAACCACAAAGGACATAGACCGGACAAGTAGTGTAAAGCGTTTTGCACACTTTTTTAGTTTTAGTTCCCAGACCACTTCGTATTTGCTCGGCTCCTGAAATATGGGAACACAAAATCATTTCGCTTCATGCACTCGGCCGAGATGGTCGACTGTTGAACAAAAGATCCCTCTGCGATGAATGTTTCCCTTGCTCTCTCTCTCTATGCTCTCTCCTCTCTCAAATATGTATATGTATGTATGCATGTGAGCACAAGCAGCAGCTCACGAAAATTGAAATTTCGCCGCAGCAAGAACCCATGTCTTCTCTTCTGAGTGAAAAATATGCACACACACACACTTACAGTATGCTACATGTACTATGAGCACTTGTATGCCTGTGTGCGAGGCTCTGGCTGTCTGTAGCAATTTTCAATCGCAGCATTTGCATTTGGTCGATCTTGTGAAGTGCTCACATACATATGTATGTATGTATGTATATACATTTGATTATGATGCTCACAATTGTGGTATATAGCTTGTAGAAGCATTTATGTATATATATGCCTGTCTGCCTTTACATAAGCGTGTGTATATGTGTTTATATGTATGCATGGGAGACGAACATTGGCGTGTGCCTACCTCAACTTAGAATGGTGTGAACGATTTTGGGTTTTATTTGAAGAGGCGCGCTTACATTTAAGTAGATGATTTTATTTCAATGATTGTGCGTTTACCCATCAGAATGCATTAAAAAAAAATATTGTTTCTGATTAAGCTCAGTGGGCAAAATGGGATGCGATTTTCGATCCCTAGCACCCGTTCATATATGAACATACATATACAGTTGCATGCAAGCACAAAAAACATATAAAAAGTATTTTTAATGTTTTATTTTGTATAACTTGCAATATGAGCCCATGCCGGGGCCCCACAAAATATTGTGGACTGTTATATTGATCTGAATAGGTACATTTTATTTTCTAAACATAGGCTAGAATTCCTATTTATAAATGGATATAAGGTACGGATTAGTGTATTTGATTTTTTAATGAAATGTTGGACGTGGTCAGCAAATCTTATGTTTTATACCCTGAACCCATTGAAAATGGGAAATCAGGGTATATTAGTTTCCTTAAAAATATGTAACAGGCGGCTTGGTGCACCTTACAAACTATATATATTCTTCATCAGGGCGACGAGCTGATTCGATCTAGCCCTGTCCTTATGTTTGAACACGTCGATCTCAGAAGATATAAGAGCTAGAGGATATCGAGTTTATCTAAAAAAATCGCTAACTCTTCCCGTTATTTTTTATCGATAGAAAACATTATCGAAAATAAGCTATTTAATTATTTCTCCTACATCTTTAAAGCTAGAGTCTCCAAATTTTAAATATATATTTAGATGTATTTTATACAAATTAGATTTTTATTAAAATTTAGACACACCTCTATATCCACCCCCTCACCATTAAGACGTTAAATACTACAGACTTGTACTTTGGCAAATGCATGCATATCCATGTTATAATGTTCTTAATCAGGAAACTAACCTAGTCGATCTTACATACATTTTTAGAAAACCATTATGCCCTGATTTCCCGTTTTCAATGAGATCCCATCTTTATATTTCTTTATGATTTTGGAGAGAATGTATTCATCTGCCTTTAACTCTATATATTACGGAAAAATCTAATAAATTTCCCGTCGGGTAAGGAAAAATCAAGTTTATAGTTTGACATAATACTCAATCAGTTAAAGGAAATCTTCGTTTATGGTATAACATCTTACATTACTATAATTTATTTTAAGAATTTTCATTCTTTTAAGAAGTTAAACAGTTTTGAAAAAAAAGATTTTTTCTCGGGATAATCATTAGTTAATGTTTGAACAATTTCCATTAGAGTATCATTCATTTCGATTTGAGCCTGTAATTGCTGTTCAATTGAGCTCTCTGATCTAACAATTTTATGTTGTCCTTTTGTTTGATTTAATTTACGGAATGCCTTAGCACGATTTTGTTTGCGAATTATTTGCTCTAAATTAAAATGTTTTAAGAGAAGTGCATCTTCTATCTGAGCTCGAATAGATGCATCTTTACTTGAAACTTCTTTAAGATCGTTTTGATTTTTTCGTAGAATGTATACCATTCGTTCAATATTATTAATGTTATCAGTAATGCGCTTTTCGGAAAGAAATATTATTTCATTTTGAATGGCTTTTGATTTGTTGCGCACTTCATCAAGCTTTATTTGGGCTTGGGATGCGTTTTTATATTTCTTCTTTTTTGCATCAACGTGTTCTTTCACCGATGCATTTACGAAAATTTGTTCACGATGCATCACACAATGCTCTAAATCTTGCACCAATTTTTCCTGTGCGCGTTTTAGTTGATTTAAGCGAATGGTCATTCTATGAATTTCAATTTTCATTGCCCCTATTTCACCGTTTAATGAACGCTCAGTTTTAGTCCAATCAATAGTTTCCTCAATCAATTTATGCTTTGTTTCCCAGGAAAGAGCTTCTCTATGTCTATCGAGTACAAGGTCCTTGCTTAGTTCAATTTCATTTAACAATTCATTAATATCTTTTTCCAACTTTAATGTACTCATTTCGGTATCCTGAAAATAAATTAAATGTAATATTCCAGAAACTGAAGCAGATCAACAAATTTACCTTCAGTTTTTGGCTTAGCTCAAACTGTTCGTGCTCATATTCGCTTTCTTCAATATCATGGTTCTTTCGTTTAGTGTATATTTTCTCATTCAATAGCTCCAATTTTGAGGTATACTTCTGAATATCTAGCCTTAGATCTCTTGTCTTATTTTCAGATATTTCTAATTCTTGGTCAACCTTCAATGATTTTTGCTTTATGATCGATAATTCTGAAAATAAAAGTTAAACCAAATTCAAAGAAATTTCATTGATATTCAATGTTAACAAGAAAGTGTGCTCTTTCGGGGGTTGAAAAAAATTATATTAGTATATTATTATTATGTTACAATATTATCGTGACAGCAAAAGTACTTCCTGAGATAGGAGTGTCCATCCAAATGAGAAAAGGGATATCAACATATCCATACCATTTCACAGTTCATAGCTTAAAGCTATACTCTGAGATAATAATCTCTGTTTTCTTGGAAGCATATACTTACGTTTTCTAGTCACCTGAATTTCATGTAGCTGATCGCTTCTTTTATGGGTTAAATTTACAAAATGATTTTGAAGCATTATCCAAAATTGTTGATGCTCTCTTATTTGGTATTCGCCCACATGAATAGATTTTTCTATTTGCTTTATCTGTGAACAGAAAAAAAGGAACTAGTTATTAATGCTAGAACATTAACTGGAAACGTACTTTATATCTGGAAAATATATATGTAATACATTTATACTATTTACAAAGAATACTATTACAAAGAATATAAAGGGGTGGGGGGTAAACTTGAACTAAACCCGAAATTTCATAAAATACATATAAGTATACAATTAAAGTTTGGAGACTCTAACTTTAAAGATGTTGGAGATATAATTTTATTACTGATTTTCGACAAGGTTTTCAATCGATAACAAAAAACGCCAAAACTTTATATGCGCCTGGTATACACGGACCTAGGAAAAAATTCTCAAAAGTCTCTAGCTCTTATATCTTCTGAAATCGACGCGTTCAAACATACTGACAGACGGACGGACAGACAGACAGACGGACAGGGCTAAATCAACTCCGCTCGTTACACTGATCAAGAATATATATACTTTGTGGGGTCTGCCACGCCTCCTTCTGCCTGTTACATACATTATAACAAAACCATTATACCCTGATTTCCCATTTAAAATGGGTTCAGAGTATAAAAATGAAGACGAAGATAAACATGATCCAGACAAGTTGATTAAATATTAATATTATTGATGTTAATTTTCTAAATATGCTATGAGTGAACAAGAAAACAAATTTTTAGTCTGTTTTTTTTTTTTATTTTACAGGGTATAAATGGATTGTCATTCACTTTTATGTTTTTGTATTATATGATGACTTACTTTAATTATTTTTATCTAAAGATATGTGCTGTAAGTTTTATGTTAAATAATAGTAAAAATTATGTCTAAAGCACTTATAATTGAATTAATAAGTAACAAGGAGGCGGGGAAAAGGCATGGTCTAATCGTAGAGAAAACAAATTGGAAATTCTAACTTAGTCTATCTTAGGTGTATGTAAAATTTCAACATCCTAGCTTTATTTTTACAATTGATGCCAAAGTTTCGGCCTTTTTTCCTGCAGTGCACTGCAGCCAATGTGTGTTTAGGTGTGCGTGTGTGTGTGTGTGTATGTGTGTGCGTGTGAGTGTTTCTTGTGTAAGCGCAAAGACGCGAAAATGATTTAAATAACCTTTGCTCGAAGGGTTCAGACGATCTCGTAGTCGAGCAGTCTAGACTAATAATTTCTTACTTGTTTTTTTTTTTAGACAATTTATGTCTACGCCCCCATTGCCACCTCATTTTTAGCCAGTTCTTAGATCGACCTGAATGTAACGTAACTGAAAAATTTGAGTGCTAAAAAAATTTCGAAAAATACGGGGTATTTTCCGGTACGCCATTTTTCGGTCATTGATAGGGGAGGTTACCAGTACCTCAACTATCCAAATTTGAAGCTTCTAGTTCTTAAACTGTAGAAGCTATAATATTTTGCAATTTACCACGCCCCTTGTGGGCGGAGATACATATTTTTTTAGTCTTAGGGACCACTTCGGGTTAACCAACCCGAGTATATAACATCAATACGCCCTACGCCCCAGTGTGCGTAGACATAATTTTGTTGTCGATCTTGAAGAATCGTAACGTTAGCTCACGTTCTAGCTTTAAAACTCTAGAAGATACAGTTTTACCTCATTTGGATCTGAAAAATTTTAACACTTTATAAAATGAGGATATACACGTGTATGTGTTCCAAATTTCAAGTCTCTAGCTTCGATAGCGGCACATTTGACATTCGTGAATGTGTATAGTCATAGCTTGCAGAATACTATCTAACGTTCAGTTCAATATTACCTTAAGTTCAGTTGGGTTACCAGTTTCGTCACCATGAGCGCTGTGGATCTCTTCAATTAGGCTGTTAAGCTTTTCGAACCGCTGCATTTTGATTTCAATTTTAGATTGTATCTTCTTTAGTTCATCGTCCAAACTATTTGACTTTTCTTCAGCTTTAGTTAGTTTGTCTTGAACTTTGTCATTTTGTTTCTTTGTATTAAATAATACGCTTCGCAATTTCTCCACATCGAGCATGGCCAATGCTAATTGATTTTGTACTTTCGACAACGAAATGTCAACGCTTCGACGATGCTCTTGAGCTTTATTTAATAATTTTAGACGGTAAGCACTAGCTTTATCAGTGATAAGCTGATCCTGAGCTAACTTCAAGATGGCCTCCTCAGTTTTGAATTTTTTTTGATGGTTTTTGTCCAAAATCAGATCGAGTCTACGCATTTCTGATAATAATTTATTTCCTTCACGAGTCGCTTCTTGCAAATCGGCTTCGGTACGGGCCAGAAACTCTGGAAACTCGTCCAGCTTTGTTTGCAAGGTCAGTAGTGCTTCCATTTCCCTTTGGCCTAAAAGTAAGTATAAATTAATAACTTTGTTGCGATTGATTCGACTTTTTCACTTACAATCACGACTTAAGTTACTCATATCATCGGCCAATCTTTGCTTGAAGGATTCCAGCTTTTTGTTAAGCTCCATTTCTCTTGAAATTTGCTTTTTCACGGCGTCAATTCCGTTTGAATTCAGTTTTATTGACTCCTTTTGCTTACTGTTTTTTTTTTTTTATTATTAAATATGTAATAGTGTATTTAAAAATAAACAAGTAAGAAAACTCTAGTCGAGAGTGCACGACTAGATACTACCCTGAACCCAACTAATAAAAATGCCCATTTAGTATGGCTAAAATTTAAATTTCGATGTATTTAAAAATATAAATGAAATACAAAACGCACTTAATAAAATTTAAAAATATTTTGAAACAATTGAAAAATTAACATAAGTTGCACCGCTCGGGATTCGAATCCGCGACTTCTCAATTGAGCGCCACGTACCTGCTCAGTACGCCACCTCACTTTCGGAAGCTGCGCTGTCAAAACTCAAATAGATTCACTGCTGCAGCGCCATCTACCAAAACTAAACCAAACGTAACAGCTGATGTGATTCAAAGAATGTTCTAGAAGAAGTTTGAATGTATGTGTGCACACGTATACGAGTTTGCGTTTGTTAAATGGCCAAATATTTGATTATTTTTTATTATTTTTTGACTGAACGGAATTTAATGAAACTTTCAGCATATGATCTACATATTATATTGAATATTTGAGAAATTAAAAAAAATTAAAAATCATTCACAATTAGCTATACTGGCATCTGACTTGAACTTGAATGTTTTTATTCGATAAAAACATAGCGGGATAATTGATCGAATTTAAAAAAAAAAATGGAAGTCTCTAGCTCTTATCTTCGGAAATCGACGCGTTCAAACATACGGACAGACGGACAGGGCCAAATCAACTCAGCTCGTCGCCCTGATCAAGAATATATACTTTGTGGAGTCTGCTACGCCTCCTTCTGCCTGTTACATACATTTCAACAAAACCATTATACCCTGATTTCCCATTGAAAATGGGTTGAGGGTATAAAAAGGAATTTCAATACTGTATATTTTGAATTACGTACCGTATGTTGTCCTGAACTTGAAACAGTATTTTATCTCTTTGCTGAATAGCTATGATAACTTCACTCCATGCCTGAATTAAGCGTTTATGCTCATTTTGCAAAGCCTCCAAATCAGTGTTAGCATCGGCAATGCTCATGTTAAGGACATTAACCACCTCCTTAATTGCAACTTCATCTTCGGAAATTGATTGCAGCTCGGCTTCTTTTTTCTTTACTTCCATATCGAGTCTATAAAATAGTATGTCCGATTTTCTTTTTTCCTCTGACAGTTGTTTTTGCAATTGAGCATCGCGGCTAACAATGCGCTTAGCATTTTTAACTTCATCTTCCACTTCGTATGCCCAATTCTTAATATTACTGCCCAAACTTTGAAGATCTTCTAGTTCCATCATTCGAGTATGGTATAATGATTTTTGAGTTCTTGTCAACTTAATTTTCTCGTCATATTCCTTCTTTAGAATCTCTACGGCGGCTTCTTCCAGTTGGCGTTTTTCGATATGTTCATCAATTTGGGCAGATATTTCTTTGATTTGCTGCTCCTGGTATGCAATTTTATTTTGCATGTCATACAATGCCAGCCCCTGCTCCTCCCTACGTTCCTCTTTGGTCTTGACATGATATTTTATATCTGTAATCTCGTTTTCCAACTTATTTTTTGTACGCAAAAGATGTTCCTTCAAAGACAGTTGAAATCTTCGTAGCAAAGGATGGTTAGGTGGAAGTATACCCATTTCTTCGGGCTCCAGAACAGGCTGTTTACCATGTTCCGTAGTATTTGCAAATTCACAGGACTCAAAATTCCCATCATCAGACATTGTAAATGTTTTTTTTTTTAGCAAATATATATCTTTAGAAAATATGTTTCGTATAATTCAGTTCAATTGTGTAAAACTACTTGTTATTTTTGACAATACTACTTGACGTTTAAGGTTGCTAAGCGTTACGAATGGATCTGTGCAACGTCAGTCGTGCTGTTAGTCCATCTGTTCCGCCGCTTTTAAAGCTAGAGACTTGAAGTTTTAAATATATACGCCAATGGTTCTCGTTATATATATTTTACTACCAAATTATATTTATTACAGCAATTTTTTTGTTTTAATTTAATAATTTATTTGCTGCTCTCCTAATTCTTATGTCTATTGCTCAAATGGTGTGCAAATAAATACATAAGTATTTAAATGTAAATTTAGCGAAATCTACACTTAATTTCTTAAACGCAAATAGGTAAGCCCGAAACTAAATTACATACGATGCATGTTACCAAGGAGATGTACATATGTATTGTTTTTTGTTTTGATTAAGAAACTGCAAGTCGTACAATATTTAAGCTATGAAGTATACATATATCTAAATATAACTGGACTTCTCCTATTTGATATCCCTTTATATCACTATTCTCGATGCGAAATAAGTATACTAATTTTATTGAACATTTTTCGGGTAGGCTCAGAACTAGAATATGTACTCGGGTTTATCAGCCGAAGGTATTTATATATATCAAATAAGGGCTCTGCAGTCAGGCACGCCTCTTTCTGTAAACGTCTGCAGACCCGAAATGTGCCCAGCAACTAGTTTCTGGCACCGTCGCGATGCATCGCACACTGCAATGTACGCTCTGCTTGTAAAGCAAATTGGGGAAGTTATTCAGATTATTGCGTCGAGAATGGTATTGGCATTTCTCTTATAATTACTTCAATATTCCTGGAAAGTTGAGTCGTACCTTCCCTCTAGCAAAATACCGTATCTAAACTACCATGGGGTCCCTAAAAATAAACTTGAAGTAAACCCCGAAGCTCAAATTACTGAGTATCCACGTTATTCTTTGCATGTCATCTGCCATGGAATCATCAGCGTCCACCATTACCGAAATGTCGCACAGTGGCGTGTTTGCTCATTTTGTGTTTCAAAAATCATAACTTTTGAACCAAGCTAAATATATCAAAAATTTAAAAAGCATTCGACAGAGAGTTTTTTAAGCTATAAATAAGCCAATATACAGGGTGATGCGTTTACAGGGTGCTTCACAGTTTAACCTCAACCCTGAAAAATGAGATATTCGTCCTAAAATTGATTTTATTTAAATTATATTCAATAAATAGAACAAAACAAGTAAAAAAAATATAATAACATAAATAAAACAAAAAAAAGTATACCTACTGCATGCAGCTGCATGCAAAAGTGACCTTTCTTAGTACGTTTTGTGCGTTTTTATGCCGATTTTGGGTTAGTTTTTTGCTATAGAAACCCACAAGGAAATCTAGGGGAAGCAAAAGCTTTATTAATATTAAAGAGGAGATCTTCCTTAACATGTATATATAAACCGATGCTCGGAACTCGGCTGAACTCAAAAAAATTAGAGGTTTACTAACTTAAAACTAGCTCTTCAATGAAAAGTCGTTTTAACATAATTTTTATGTATTCTATTAATAATAATCCATTCTTTAAATCGCAACCAACACTGCAAAAATTGGTGCAAGATTTTTCCTACAATTCAATTGACAAGTGGGATATTTTTCACAAAAACTCGCTGCTTTTTACAACTTTGCCACTTTCCCAAATTTTGAAGGGCTATACCCTTCAATATTCATGGCGACCGTGACAGGACCCTCAGGATTGAAGTCCTTACATCAATCTAATTGCCATCAGTGTGTGGACCACAGCCGCGAGCAATGAACACCAACAACAATTTCATCAACAACAACAATAGCGATAGCCCAAAACTCAGCAACTAAAATAAAAACAAGTAAGAACATTGCAGTCGGGCGTTACCGCTCTAATACTGTAGAAAATACAGTTTTTCCCGATTTGCCACGCACCTACTTGGCGTAGACACCTCATTTTTGGTCAGTTCTTAGAACGTGATAACGGTACCCTAACTGTAAAGTTTGAATGCTTACCTTCAAAAAATGTGAAAATTACAGCGTATTTTTCGATATGCCACGCCCCTAAGGAGGCGTACTGGTTACTGGTAACTTAACCATCTAAATTTGAAGCTTCTAGCTATTATACTTTGGGAGATATAAACTTTTGCGGTTTGCCACGACCCATATGGGTGGACATATATGCGACAAATCTTTTTGGTCTTGGGTGATCAGCCCGAGTATATATACAAAATTTGAGGTCTCTGGCATCAATAGTGTCCAAATTATATAGCAAAATTTAAAAAATCACTATATCTTCAGATCCGATTTGCCACGCCCCCAATGAGCGTAGACTTATAATTTTATCTTTAGACTTTATAGAATCAAAACATTAGCTAACGTGCAAAATTTCAAAACTTCTATCTGTAAAACTCTTGGAGATACAGTTTTATCTGATTTGCACACCCCCAATGAGCGGAGATATATCCGCCATAGCTCGTGATTTAGGGTGATCGACGCGGACCTACATAACAAATTTCAGCTTTCTAGCTCTCAACTAACATGATTTCTAGCATATCGGAAAATGCATTTTCCGATTTGCCACGCCCCTAGTGTGCGATATACACGAGTATGTGTTCCAAATCTAGCTTCAATAGCGCCGAAATAGATTGCGTTCATACGGACAGACGGACGGACATTGTACAAAGCCAATATACTATTTCACTTTCGTGAATGAGTATAATAATTCACTTTTGTGAATGAGTATAATAATTCACTTTCGTGAATGAGTATAAAAAGAGAAAAACCCAGTGAGTAATGCTATGTGTAAAAAAAGAAGCGGTGTGGTGAAATAACTAGAAACCAGAAAGACAGAGTTGCTAAAACTTTTCAACAGTAGTTTGATAAATTGGAACAATTCGGTTGGTTAAACTACATGCCGAAGTTGAACATATAAAATATCAACCCACAATTCGAAAAAAGCAAAAACCAACTGTACACACATCAACCTAGCCTGTCATACCAAATATTGCAAAAGAAAAATTAATAAATCACCACCCAAATTAAAAGAGATTCCAAAACTAAAGAGAACATGTGACATGTGAGGGACCACTAAGCTCACCTTAATATGACACCTGCGCTGCCAGCACCGGTCTCCCACCATAGAAGCAGAAGCCTGTACAGCCAGCACCGGCACCGCCTGGCGCATCAAGTCAGGCCAAGGTAAACTGAACTGACAGCGGAGCGTCTGCTATTTATATTTTTTATAGAACTTGGAAACAATTTAAATTGCCAAATCTCCTAGTTTATGCTGATCATTGGCAATGATCTCATCCCTTCACCAACAAATGAGTTAAGTGTATACAAAATCAATTTTCCAAATTAGATATGATGATTACATTTTAATTATTCAAAAATTCAACATACAAAGATGTAAGTTTTGTTAATGATGCTCACAAAAAATAATAGTTTGTTCATAGTGAATTGGCATAAATGTAAATTGTTTATTTTAAATACATACATTTAAGAGATCGTACTCTTGCACTTTAATATGTTTTGGAATTCAAATCTTTAGGTACGTAAATAAATACATATATCAAATTTTTTAATGAGCAATGCATTATTGCAATTGTAAAAAGTGTAGAAATTTAATGTAACATGTTTACAATAGTGCATACATGTAAATATGCAAGTCAAAGGAGTTCCAACTTCATTATGAGTAAAACAATCCCAAAACATATACTACATTCCATCATCAAAGTATTACATATTCATTATTATAGCAAATTTCTATTGTTCTTTTGACAATAATATTTTAAGATTTTAATTTACAAATTGAGAGCAAACACACATAAAAATGTAAAAATTACATAAACTCTTTAAGATACTAATGTTTCAATTAATATTTTATCATATTGTGCTTATAATCTACACAATTATGGGCATTACACGCGCGATGATTCGACTTAAATATGTATATAACAAAGTTCAATTTGTTTCTTGGATAATATAAAACATGTTAACACTTGGCTGCTCTGGGGAATAAAGCAGTCAAGGCAAAGGTTTTATGTATTCAAAGAGAAGCAAATTGATTATTGGCAGTTCCCGACAGAACCGACAAAAACATTTAATTATACAATCAGTAAATCTTTTGATGACTTATTTCTCATCTAAAACTATATCTTTAAAGACAAAATGACAATGACGGCTTTCAAAAAGAAAATTTGAAAATACTTTTCTTTTAAGATATCCTATTTGTTTGGAAGTGCCCATATGCACATACACATTGATTGTAATTTATTTAAATAATTCTTTTTATCATATATTATACTTATATTATTTGCTAGTCCCGCAACTTGTAATTAATAATGAAAAAATGTGTTTTTTTTTTTAAGTTTTAAGATTTATAATTGTAATATGTAAATGACAAAAAATTAAAGATGTGCTATTTATATCCTAATGTCTTAAAAATTTCGGAGTAGTATATATTCATGTCATACCTGGAAATAACTCATAGGGTATACCTCAATGAAATGAGTTTACGTTTAATATAAATATTTTGTAACACTTCACGATTCTGAATCAATTCTAAGTTGCTTTATAAAAGATTTTACTAGACACCTTGCTGACCGTTATTTTAAAAGCTAACTATGGTCTGAAAATGAGATAGCTATTTTTGATAACTGTAAAATCTTAATCATCATTCCAGGAAGCACGTATTGCGGAATAACCTGTACGGCATCCCTTCAATCTGTATGATTTTTTTTTTTTTTAATATTTCCACTCCTTCAACTGACATAAACGCAAAGCCCTTCACAACATCAGAAAATAAAAGCTTGCATACAAAAAATCTCTATTACCATTATCGATAAATAAGTTTGATCCTCTACAAAATATAATTGGTTTAATGGTATTTTACAGAAAATATTTTCTTATATAGAAAAAAACAAAAAATTAACAAATTTTTTTAGATGATGAATTATTTAAAAATAACGTATTGTTATTTCCTTGAGGTATATGCTTAGCCAAATACTTAATGATGTGATTTATAACTATATT